AATTCCCCAGCCAGCAAGGCTGGCTGGGGAATTCTGGGAGTTGAAGTCCACACATCTTCAAGTCGCCAAGGTTGAGAAACACTGCTCTAACCAGCCCGTTTTCAGCTGTTGCTGTCTCAATAAATCACTGCTTCTAAAGAACTGAGATGTTTGCCTTTTGCAAACTGAACGTGCTAAGTCTGGAAACACGCTGGGTGGGGGGGAAGGGGGCTTCCCCCTGGGAGTTTTTTTTTCAATTTCCCCTTCCCATCACAGTCCTCGGGCAAACATCTTGCCGAATGCACCTTTCGGTGCCCTGCGTGGGTGATGACACATTATGTCCTGCCCCTTGGGGTCATGGGAAGTCGGTCACCATTTCCTTCCATTTCTTTTAAAATTAGTTCTGATCGGCTAAATATACCCAAGATGGTTAAGAGGCAGAAGATAAGAGAGCAAACAGTGGGGCAGGGAAAGGAGGGAAATTAAAAGCCCCAGCGCTTGGAATTCACCCGCAGGAATGGAAATCTTCAAGTCCTCAAAACCTCCAAGCCAGCAACAGGAGATTTCAGATCCTCCGTCGTGCCATTACGGCTGGATTCTTACCTGCTAAATACGTAATATAATAATAATCCTATTATATCGTCGTATAGACCTGCGTGGAAGCAGAGAAAATTTGGCTGTAAAAATGCACCCAAAAAATCAGTTTTGACTTCTCCGCGGACCAGAGCTCAGATTTTTTTTAAAAAAATCACGGGTTTTAAATGGCGGTGTAAAAATTTGCAGTTTCCCACCTTTTGCTGCTAACCCGTTTGCAGTAGGTAGGTAATTGCCGTGTGCGGACATCGCCCACGCAGTTTTCAAGCTAAAAGTTATTAGGAGAGCAGAGGAGACGAACAATTCTGCTGATGCCGGAGAATTTGAGGTAAACGAAGGAGACATTTCTGGTTTCCCTGCTATTTTGGTTGCAATTTCACGGGTTGCAATTGCACAGCTTATCCACGGATGGGCTTATATGTGAGTATATACGGTATGTCATATATACTAATGCAACAGCTTAACATCCTGGTGTGGTTCGTACCATGTGTTAAGACCATGGCTGCGATCCTACACTTTGCCAAGCCTCAAATTAACTAACTAGCTTAGCTGAGTATATTGTGTGAGTTGAATCAATCTGTAACTTTATCGATAGAAAATAAGACATTATCTATGTGTGTTTTTCTACTTTTTCTCTTCTCTTTTCTCCCGTTTTGCCTGTGCTCAGACTGTAAGCTCCATGGGGCAGAGACCCATTTCCTTATTTTTTGCAAAGTTTCTTCCACGTGTTATATGGTATAAAGCAGCGAGGGGCACACAGTCCAGCGGTGTGGTTTCTTGTCATTTTGCCATGGGAAACACATAGGAATGTAGCATACACCCTAAGATAGCCTTCGTGTGGTTAAAAAAGCAAAGGAAAAAAAAATAAAATCCCTCTCCTAGTGGGTAAATTCAGGGAAAAAACCAGAAAATTTTCCCCACCCACATACATGAAAGTCCCACCTCCTTTTATTCCATTGCCCACCCTCCACAGTCTTCAGCCTTCCCCCCAAAAATGTTAAGACCAATCTCTGATTGGCAGTAAGTTAACAGTCCCTGTACCAAATAAATTAAAAATTCAGTACAAAGTTTGAATATAGCAGTTAATTGGCAAATCCCATCTCTCATCCCTTAATTGTGTGAACAGTCTCCACAAAGCAAGTCAATCAGTCTGTAAAATGGGCATCATTGTGCGATCATGTTATCACTCTTTCTACTGCCAGACTCAGGTGGTGAATGCCAACAAGAACTGGCAAATCCAGTTTCCTTTCCCTTCGTACCCTTTTAGGATCAGCAGTTCATGCAACAGCTAAAAATATCCCTTGGACTTCCATAAAACCTAAAATCCTCCAGATTCATAGACTAGGAGCTGTGATGACTAAGCTGGTTTGGAACTGGATTCAGCTCTGGCTTCAAATGTCACTTCACCAGTGTAAAAGCTCCCGAATACATGAATAATGCCCTTTTTTTCCTCTTGTGAAAGGTCTCTCATCCCCCGGACTGCAATGGGCCGAAAAAAGATACAGATTAGCCGAATCTTGGACCAACGGAACCGGCAGGTAAGCGCCTCTAAAATAGAAACGGGCTAGCAATCAGATGCCCCTCTGACCAGATTCTTCTGCTATGGACTACAGCTCCCATCATCTCTAGCCAACCTGGAGAGACTTTTTAGATTGAAATAGCCATTTAAAAACTCGTGGGACAGAGAATTTAGTGAGGAGGGATCAAGGATCTTGGGACAAGTTCACAAAAATCTTTCTTCTATGTGCTGATATTTTGCTTTTCAAGTACCCTATCAACTATACTCGGAATCTAGTCATCCTGTCCAACTTCCTTAACAGCAAATTACAAACAAACTAAAAAACCCAGACATTGATTTTCATACCTCATTTTTTTCTAATATACTAATGTTCATATGCAACTTTTCATCTGTCTACACATACAACCACAATTGTTCATCTGTCTACACACATGCATAGACATACATGGCCACATTTTATGTGACACTTCCCCCAATTTCTGCAGCTTTAGAGGCTATTTTTAAGCCACAAACGTTGTCCAAAAATTGGAGCTGTATTATGACGTGCTATTCTAAATAGCGGTCCAGGAACTGTGAGTTCCTTATGGATTTCTCTGCGATATACTCACGCTTATGGATGCAGAACAAGCAGCTTTCTGTAAGCCAGGGTAGCACAATGATTAAGATTAGATTTGGATTAGAAAGGCCTAGGATCAGCTTCCCACTGTTGGGTCTATCAGCAGCAAGGCATAGGATGATCCAAGAGTCATGGATAAGGAACATAAAGAAGGAGAAGCAGGATGGATGGGTGGATAAGATAAAGAAGGAGAAGCAGCAGCTATCAAGAAGAGAGAGAGAGATTAAGGAAATCTGCTGACTCATTACACCCGAAGACCTGTTAAAGGGACGATACACTATACCAGGGTTTCTCAACCTCAGCAACTTCAAGATGTGTGGACTTCAACTCCAAGAATTCCCCATCTTGCTGAGGTTGAGAAACACTGCGGTATATCCATTTAACCACAAACCTTATTAAGTGACTTTGGATGGTTAAGTCGAGAACCAGAGTTTCCCAGGGCAGAGATGTCAGTTATGTCAACAACCAACTGTTGCCCGGCTTAGCTGCAAGGCTGAGAAACGCAGGCCCCAAAGTCTTTAAAGCATGGGAAGAGTGGGAGAAAGAAGAACCTGAATGACGTTACAGTGGGTTTAAGGAGGGAGTAGGACCTTCATGTTGACAGAGGGCAGTCAGCTGTTTTAGTGGCTTCTTCCTAGTGTGCAATAAAGACTCTTATTTAGCTATGCCCCGTTGAGTGTTGAGAGTGTTGAGCTGAGTGTGAGGCCAGAGCCAGTCAGGTATCTTGGAAATTCTGACAAGGCTAACCAGGGAGCTTGACGATAAAAAAGCTAATGTTAATCGTTATCAGGGGTGTCTGCAGGGTGTGGTCAAGAAAGTCAAGATGGTGGCCATGACAGTACAATGGAAGCTCCACCCTTTTTTGTTTGCATTGCACTGGGCAAAATTTTGGTCACCATCATGTCCACCATCTTGACTTTCTTGACCACACCCTGCAGACACCCCTGATAACGACCCTTTTTTGTTTGCATTGCACTGGGCAAAATTTTGGTCACCATCATGTCCACCATCTTGACTTTTTGACCATATCTGCAGATACCCCTGCTTATAAAAGCAGTAATATACAGGTAGTCCTCAGTTAACAACGGTAATTGAAACTGGGAACTCCGTCACTAAGCAATGCAGTTATAAAGCACAATATCATGTGACCGCACCAACTTAGAACTGCAGTTCTGGCAGTTCCAGTTGCTGTCATTAGGTGAATCCCACACAGTCATTAGGCATGTCACATGATTACTATTTGGGACCTCCTGCCAGCTTCTCCATTGACCTTGCCTGTCAAAAGCTGGCAGTGAAGGTCGCAAATGGTGATCTTGTGACTGAGGGATGCTGCAATGGCATAATTGTCAGCCAGTTGCCAAATGCCTGAACTGCGATCACGTGACTGTGGGGACGTTGCAGTGGCTGTAGTTACAAGGACTGGCTGTAAGTCTCCTCATTCAGTGCCGTCGTAACTTTGAACAGTCACTGAATGAGTGGTCGCTGAACGAGGACTACCTGTAATCTAGAAATGGAGTGCCAGATGATTCTGCAGGCTTTACGTTCCTGGCCTCAGTTGCAAGTTGACCCAATCTACCCCCTTCCTATCTTGTTTCTCCTGCCTTTTTAGGTCACATTCACCAAGAGAAAGTTTGGGCTGATGAAAAAAGCCTACGAGCTCAGCGTCCTTTGCGACTGCGAGATCGCCCTGATCATTTTCAACAGCACCAACCGCCTCTTCCAGTATGCCAGCACAGACATGGACAAGGTTCTCTTGAAGTATACCGAGTACAGCGAGCCCCACGAGAGCCGAACCAACTCAGATATTCTGGAGGTAAAAATGTGGGAAGGCTCCTAAAATTCAGCTTCCCCAACGTGCTCTTCGGATTTTGGAATATCAAATACCATCTTTTTATCATAGTGAATCTGATGCTTTAAGATCAGCGTTTTAAAGGTGGCAAATTGCACGTGTTCTGTGCATGTATAATTTGGCATAGCATTTAGCTCCTCTGTGTTAGTGGTGCAGACATGTGGTTTGATAGTCCTTGCTTAATGACCATTCATTCAGCGACCATTTGAAGTTACAACGGCACTGAACGGGTGGTAGTGAGGACCGGTCTCCAAAGTTGCGGCCACTGCAACCAACCCCCATTTGGTCATGTGATCAAATGTGGGTGCTTGGCAACTGGCCGACATTCACAACCGCAGCGTGCACCAGCTCCCCCCACTCACCTGTCTCCCCCCATCTCTGACCTTTTAGCCGCCCTGCACTCTACCACTGCCGCTGCCCCCAGCTGACCACCATCTTCTTCCTCACGCTGCTGGCCCGAGATCCAGGCACTGGGCAAGGGCACGGCCCCAGGAGGCATACAGCGAGTGCAGCCAGGCCTCGTCTGCCAAAGAGAGCTCGCCAGGCCCGCTGGGGAAGAGGCAGCAGGATGGAGCTGGCAGAGGAGACAGGGCAGTGGTGAGGGTGGCAGTTTCCTGGGTGAAGGTGGCAGCTGTTGGTGCCATGCTGCCACATACTCTTCCGTCTCCCCCAGCTGACCTTTGCCGTTTTCTTCCTCCCGTTGCTGACAAGGCGTTCCCAGCCAAGGCAGCTGCTGGCCCTTCACGAGGCCTTGTCAGCAGCAGGAGGAAGAAGGTGGCAAAGGTCAGCGGGGGGCGGCAGAGTTGGCAGCAGCAGTGCAGTGTGGCCAGAAGGGCTGAAATGGGGGGGAGATAGGTGAGTGGGGGGAGTTGAAGTGGAGGCAAGCATGGAGGTCAGGAGAAGCATGAGGTCCTGGCCTAATGACCGTAACTGGAACTGCCGTCGCTAAGCAGTGCGGTCAGGTGATGTTTCACCTAATGACCAAATCATTTAGCGATGGAAATTCTGGTCCCAATTAGGGTTGTTAAGCAAGGACTACCTGTACTGCATTGTGATAATTTTTCCTCCAACATGTTTCAGCGCACAAATGTGCATTAATAATCTGAAAAAAGAAATCAAGAAATGACTATCCATATTGATACAAGCCCACCTAGGAAGCAAAACATATTAGCAGAAAGCATATGTACAGAAATGTGTACTTTAGCAACAGTCATATTCAGAAATATTTTCTGTTAAATTATTTGCAAATAAATCTATATTAGACAAAAGTGACTGTATTCAGAAAAATGTGTACAAAAATGCATAATAATTTTCCTGCAGCCATTTAAAAAAAAATACTGAATTTTGTAAATCTCCTTGAAGAGTGCTTTCTATCCATTAAGAAGTGTAAATCAAAGACAAATTGGGTGTGTAACTTAGTTGCAGTTCAGGTTAGCTTTATTTAATAGCCTTGTATTTCTTTGATTTTACATAAATATTATTAATGTGTTTAAATCCGTGCAGACCCTGAAACGAAAGGGGTTGGGCTTTGAAGGTGCAGAACTGGATCTTGTAGAAGCTTTGGACCCAGCTGAGAAACTGAGGCAGCTTGGCGAAGGAGTGGACCTTAGATTAGCACGTCCAAAACTTAGCGTGAGTTACTGCTTTGGGTGAAAGAACTGCTACAGGTCCTGCTATGAGTTTTCCACTCATTTGCCCCTAAAGGTGGCTTCAAAATTCTTTTTTAAATACACAGTAGAGGTGTGCAAAGCAGGTTGAATGCAAACCACTGTTAAACATTCAAAAAGGATTATTTTGACAGTAGTGGAAGGATTTGGATACTGTTCTCAATATTCTGGACTAGAACCGTTCCAAACTCAGCTTGGAAACCTTCCAGAATTGTCACAAAAAGTGCCAGGATGCTTCCAGCTGGATTGAAACAGAATTTGAATAGGCTGCAAGAAATTTGCTCACTTTTCAAAATGTTGCAACGGAGCCTCCAACCCCAAAGTATAAGGGGAACTGATGCTTTAAAATGCACACTACTGGCAGTCCTAAAGGATAGAATGCATTATATTAGGGGAAATGGCCTGCTAAAAGTTGCATGTCATATGAATATGTATCATGCATGGATGAGAATTTCATACATAATACATGCACATTTTTTCATGTGGACCTCTTTGTATTAACCACCATCCCGCCCCGCCCCTCAAAGGTGGAAATGAAACAGAATGAATGTAGGGTCAGAACCATGAAAAACGGAATGAGTCCAGATTGAGAAGATTTATCCATGCTTAATTTTGAATGTGTTACGCCTCACTTTATGTACAACATATCGAATGGGACCATCTGAAGAGAGAGCTTTGTGGAGTTACTTAGTCAGACTTCTGATACAGGTTCCATTTTGTCTTGCTAAGACTTCTGAAAATTACCTTGATAATTGAATATGGCCACCAGTCTCTCTGTGGATCAGTGTTTCTCAACCTTGGCAACTTGAAGATGTGTGGACTCCAACTCCCAGAATTCCCTAGCCCGCATGGCTGG